CCCGAGCAGCTGCTGTTACCCGGGTGCTCGGGATCACACAGCAGAGCTTCCATTCAAGTCATGATCGCAGCAGCAGGAGATGCTGCTGCGGTTTTTAGCACGGGCCATCATGGTGCTACCTCTGAGACACACATCTCTAGGTACTGGAGCAGAGTCCCAGTCCTGGGTCTGGGGACAGCACAGTGACAGTGGCAAAAACAAAGTAAACAGAATCACTGAGCTGGCAAAGTGAGTGGGCACCACTGGGCTGGGCAAAACACGAGAAAGGGTGACAGAGTGTCTGGGGGAGCAGAACCACGGGCACTGTGTGAGCAGGCACACAGGGGAGGCAGCAGCTGGCAGGGCTGAGTGACTGCAGTGATGGTCTGCAGTACTGCTGGCCTTTCCTGGAGGGCTTTCACCTGTGCTGTGACAGCTACAGCCAGTGTGCTCCTCTACCTTATACCTTGGAATACACACTGAAGAAAGGAGCACATGGTTCTAAGGAAGAGAAACCCCAGATCTCTCCACATAGGAGCTTAATCCTACAAAATCTGCTCCTTCAGTTACTGAAGAAAAGTCTAAGTGGCTGAATTCCACTTAGAGCCAAGATATTTAACCATATAATTTCCAATCAGAACTATCTTTACAAACACAGATCAGCTGCAGTGACCACTGTGAAGAGAGTACCAGAGCCACAAACAGGCCGGTCTGATGCTTGGGACCTTAACATCAGGATGAATCTTAACAAGGATCCTGATTTCTGCCTGGGAATTTAGCAGCCTGTCCTGTTTTGCTGAAGAAGTCCACACAGCACCACTTTGTTCCCCAAGTGTGCAACACCCTGATAAAATCTGCCTGCAGCAGATTTTAATCTTTGATGCTTTTGAGTAATTCTTTTAATACAGAATTGTACCTTTTTGCCTCTTCTGCCTGAATCTTTGCCTCCATCGAACCCAGGACCAGTGATATGGCTGCCATCCTGCCACCCTATTTTTTTTCTACACCAGGAACATGGGAGCTGCACATTTATACTGTCATTGTTTTAATTTTATTTATTTTCTCTGTCCTGCAAGTGATCAGCTTTTTTCTTTTTAAAGCCTGCAGTCAGCTTTAATCTACTTAGCTGGGATTAATGAGAGATTTGTTAAACATTTAAAGATTTTACATGCTTTGCTTAGAACTGTTTTTAACTATAACTATCAGGCAAAAAGCCCTGTGCCAAGGCTGGTGATGTGATCAGACAGTGCTTACAGTCACCCTTCTTCTGGAAGACTGAGTAAGGGAAGGAAAGAGATGCCAGCTCCGAATGTGGGTCATTGCACTGGCATCAGCAGCTGCCACTGCCACAGAGTTTGGCATGGATAGGAGTAGAAAACTGGGATTATCCATCCAGCTGAGGCTGGCATTGCCTGATGGTGCATGCCTTAACCAGGAGAGGTGGGAAGGAAACTGTACTTTCCTGGGGGCTGTCTGTAACTGTGTCCTACTGCTCAAAACAGCTTTGGTACTGGAAGAAGGGAAGCAGGCGCGGGAGTGACTCTAAGTTGAATGGGAACCCTTGCTGGAGATGATAACAACAATAATGCCAGTAGGCACATGGTTAAACTGTGCTCTGCTGGGGAGCCCCAGGCACAGAGGAGCAACAGATCACAAGTCCTTGGATCTGTGTTTTAGACAATTTATCTCATTGAGGGGAAAGAGAGCAAGTCCTGCAGGCAAAGGCCCCAGGAAGTCCCAAGGATGGAGCTGCAGGGAATTCTTCCAGTGCCACAGGTGAGGAACCACAGGAGAACACTGGAAGAGAGCAACAGGAATCTGTCAGGTATGCTCTGTTCATCTGGCAAAAGCCACCACCTCAGCAGAAACCCAGACCACGAATGAGCAGCAGTGTGAGAGATCCCCCATGAGCTGTCCCTTGGTACTGACCTACAGAGACCAGACAATCTCATCTGGCAGACAGAGGTTTTGATGCCTGTTCTGAATGACCTTTCCTTCTCCCATCCCAAAAAAGGTGTTTCATCCCTAAACATTCTCCAGCCCTAGGTGCAGCATCAAAACCACAACAGAACATTCATGTGTGCTGGTGGTTTCATAACAATATCAGAAGCAGCACACTGAGCAGCCCAGAGCAGGCTGGGAGCAGCTGCCCATGAAGCCCTTGGCACAAGGAGTGGGACCGGGACCGGTCCCTGGCAGCCCAGAACACGGTGGGGCAGCTCCAGACACAGCAGTGGGCTCTCACAAAGAGTGAGTACCCCTGACACCTGCAAATTGCCCCACAGAAAAAGCTCTTCCTCCCAGCCATGGCCCAGCCTTGGTGCTGGGCAGCCCTGACAGCCTGCCCATCCCTGGCACCCATCTGGAGAACCACACCAGTCCAGTGCCACACTGAAGACCCCAACAGGGAAGCAGACATCCTTCTCTCCTTTCCAGCCTGCAGGGGCCTTTGTGACAAGTGAAACAGGGTGGTTTGCCTTGAGGTTAAAAAGATCTCTGACTCCTGACATTGCAGGGCCACTGATCATGGAGCTGTGGGAAATTCCCCAGGGCCACCATCCCACTTCCTCGCGCTGCTCTCAGCCCTTCCTGATCTCCACAAAGCCCCCTACCTCCAGGGGGACACACCAGCTGTTCCCTGGTCTTGCACCTTCTCCAGGTCAGACTCAGCTGTGCCAGCAAAGACCAGCATGGGGACAGTCACCCCTTGGTGCGGGGGCAGGCACCGACCCCAAGCAGCAACAAGCATAAGATGCTTCAGAGTCTGGCTGTGCTGCTGCCTCTCACCAGCGTCACACAGACTGCATGCCGGTTTGCCTTGTACCTGTATGGAGGGTCTCCATATTCCCACACCAGAAATCTCCAGCCACAGGTAAAAGCACAGTCCATGAAGCCATTGCTTTGTCCTGGGGATGCTCAGTGCGACTCTCACTGTCACAGCTTGTACCTGCATTCACTAAACAAACCACACACAGCCACACTGATGGAAAGTGTGAGATTCTTCACTTTTGAGGCACCTAACACCAAAAATTATTTGGAACCAGAAAGACAAACATTTGGGGTTTACAATTGAAATGCAGACTCTTGAGAACAGCAAATCACACTTTCTTGCCCAAAAGCCCTTTCAGGGACTTCACAGAGCTGAGGAAGGCTGACACTGAGCTGTCCTGACCCCAGGGCTCTCCCATCCCGCTGCTTCTTGTCAGATGCTGCCCAGAGTGGCAGGCTGTGACCCACACAGCTTTCCACCGGCCTGCACATTATTATGTGCAGACAGCTGAAAACGGTGGCTTGCCCACGTGCAAGATCCCAAATGAACCCTCTTGGTCCTCCCCAGATCACCAGACATGCAAAGAAGAGGGAGAAAAGAAAAGAAAATGTCATAATACCTGTCCTGAATATCCGGATATCCCAGAGACCTTTCCAGTGCTGACACGAGTGCTGTGGCGGTGGACGGGACACCAGGGTCCCTCCGCTGGCAATGCCAGCCCTGCGCTGAGCCTGCAGCTCTCCCCAAGGTGGCGGGGCTCAAATCCGAGCAGGGGCTGGACCTGGCGCAGAGCAAACCCGCAGGAATCCCACTGTGCGGGTCGTGAGGGGCTCCAAGCGGCTCCTGCACGCACATCGTGCCTGTGAGCTCGCTCACCTGGAGAGCGCAGGGGCTCTGCGGCTGGTGACAGCCCCCAGGGACACGAGCAAGCCCCGCTTGCCACCTGTGGGACTGCCCGGCCATCCAGCCCGCTGCCCTGGCCCTAGCCCTGCATCCTCAGAGAAGTTCGAGGGGAGCAGGTGGGAGCTTGGTGGAGGGAGCAATGGGAAATAAATAAAGCAAGAGGACAGGGTGGGAAGGGGGGCTCCGTTCTCATTCCCAGACGTTTGCACTCCCAGACTCAAGAGGACTTCGCAAAGCGAGTGTGGACCCTCCTGGCAGGGCAGCCAGCAGCTGCCTCTCCACGCTGCAGTTTTTATAAATTCTGGGAAACACTTTTAGACAGACACTGGCACTCATAAATTATACAACTCATTTGCATATTCCAGTCATGAGACATTATGCAAATGTGACCTGATTTGCATAATGGATTCCTCTTGTCGCTTCACTTGCTTCATGCTTTTAAAAAACAAAATGAAATAAAATGAAAGCACAGGAAGGTGAAAGCAGCAAGTTCCCAGCGCTGCTGCGCCTCCTCCTGCCACACTGTCACCCTCACCGGCGGCACACTGGGGCAAGGGAGAGTGAAAAACCAAAGCCCAGATGGGTTAGTTCTCTCGTCATTACAACAAACTAACTTTCCCTTGGTTTTGATGCTTCACCCCAAGCAACACATCGGAGCCGAGTAGAGGAATCAGGTGTGGCAGGCAGGACGCGACCGTGGCGGCCGGGGCCTGTGGCGCTGGCGGCCGGGCAGGGCGCTGGGGCCCGGAGCCGTGAGGCGCCGCGGGGCTGGGGCCCGGCTGCCCTGCCGCAACGCCAGCGGCGCTCGCTGTGAGAGACAGGTGCACGGCAGAGCCGAGGGGAGGGGTTGTGCCGATTGTTCACAGCGGAACGCAGCGCTGGTGTGGCGGCAGGACGAGGCAGCGGTGCCAGCCGCCCCGGGCCGGGCTCCAGCCCTGGCAGGGCCGGTGCGGCGCGGGCGCCGCCGCCCCCCTGCTCCGCGCCAGGCGCTGCCGTGCCAGCCGGCTGGCGGCCGTGCCCTGTGGGAAAACTTAACTGTAATTCTTCAGCTTTTAAAATCAATTAACCCGTGTGTTAATTAACATCAAGTCGACGGGAGGAGGAGGAGGAGGGGAGAGCGGGAGGGAGGAGGGAGGAAAAGAGCTGCAAGGGCGGATGGCAGCGGAGTTGGCACAGTGCCATCCATTCAGTGGCAACGCCACAGCTCCCTGCGATCGCGGCAGCGGGTATATGTTACGGGGGCCCTGAGCGCGGGCCAGACAGTGCCGTAGAGCCAAGGGAGATTATCCAGACCCCCAGGAGCAAACGGCAGGCAGCGACCGGAGGCACAAGTGCCAGGATTACAGACCAGGCTCCTCCGCCGCGAGCCCTGCGTCGGACGCACGCCATGGGGATGGGGCTCCCCCGCCAGCGCCGCACACCTCGGACTTCCAGCACTTTTCCCCCCTTTAGACATCATTCTGCCGCAGTGGAGCCAGCACAACGGATGCTTTCACACCCTGCGAGACAAAGGCCGTCGTCTCCGCCATGACACCGCTCCGTTCCAAGCCGAGGCCGGCATCTTGGAGTCTTTAAAAATAAATGGAAAAGGGAAATGCGAACAATAAACACAGCAATCGAAAAAACCTCATCAACAAACCCCTTGTGCCCGCTCTCCATGCCAGGGGCAACATGGGCATCTGTCGCAGCAGAAGGCGTTTGTGTGGGGCTTGCTCTTTTTTTTTTTGGCTTTTTTTTTTTCCCCGCAAGCTGTTGGCGTGTTTTGCCATTCAGGTTCGTTTACAATTAATGCCAAAAAAAACCCAACCACACCCAGCCCAGTCAACAACAAACAAAAGGGAGTAGTCGACATGGAGGGAGAAATGCCCAGAGAAGCTCAAGAATGCGAACTCCGGCCGATGCCATTTGCCATTTGGACAACCTCAGGGAAAGGTGCCAAATCTGCAGCTCAGGAGGGACCCGAGGAGGGAATGCGAAGGTCTCCGAGGAGCCGAGGGAAGGAAGGGAGGAAGGAATACCGCTCTTACAGGGCAGGATCAGGCTGCACACAGCCTCTGCTGGGAGGAGAGGGAATGTTTGACGGTGTAGCGAGGTGCCTGTGTATGCACACGCACATGGAACAGTGCGTACAGACACACAGACACACAGGCACACACCGCTCGGGTTGGTGCAGAGGAGCTGTGTGAGTGGGTGAGGAGATGTGTGTGTGCCTCGGTGTACACACGCGCGCGGCCGTGTGGGGGTATTTGTTCATGTGCACGCGTGTAACACACGCAGGGAGATGTATGTCTGTGTGCCTCAGTGCGAGAGAGCGACAGGGAGTGAGGAAGAGACACACACACACACACACTCACCCACCGTCAGTATACATCCCACTTTTTGACCTAGGTGTACACGGAACACAAAATAAAAATCATACTGGAGCAGCAAGCAGGCAGCAGAGATTTATCTACATTCACTGCTATCACCAGGGAGATGAATGGGGCCGATCTGAAGCCCTTCACGAGATCCACTATGGGAGTGAAGGAGGAGGAGGGATGCCACACAGACATGCACAAACTTGAAGACAGAGAGATTTGGAAGGTGCTACTTGTGAAACCCAGGTGGCACTCGGAGGGCGAGCGAGGGAAGGAGCCGTGCGGGCGCTGCGCGGGGTCCGCAGGGCGCGGGGGCTTCTGGACAAGGGCGTCAAGGGACAGCTGGCTACTTACGGTGTCTGCGCTGCTGAGGATCCTGCAAGGTGTTCTGTTGGCACTGGGCGCTGAGCCAGGGAAGGGCACTGGAGACAAAAGGGAGAGACAAAAAATAAAGTCATACAATGGGAATATTAATTGCCTCTCTTGCGGATTTTACAAAACTCACGAAATGTTTTCTTTTTGCCTGGTGGTTTTTGGTATTTTTTTGTGGATTGGTGCACTTCCCTTCTGCATGGAAAATACTAGCATGGGATCTACAGCCCAGCTACAGGGCTCAGGATTAACAGTGCTGGCATCTTTTGGGCATATTTTTTCTTTTAATGAATGAGCTTTCGCTGTTAATGAGGAATAATCGTTTGGCTAATGAGCTTTGAAACATTAAGAGAAAAGAGGTTTTTTTCCCGTTAATTGCCCTGGTGCGACCGCATGGATGGATTACAAAAGACAGCAGTAGGAATGCAGTACAAAGAGGGGAAATGTCTCCTGGTGTGGGATAAATGCAGAGATGGGTGATACATCCCTGCACCTCTCCTTCCTTCACTCCCTCTTGCTCCCTCTCTGCCAACTGCTATGGGTTTCCATAACTCCGCAATCAAAGTGGATGCTCGGGGAAGATTATTATAGTCAAACAGTGAAGCGTCGGCGGCTAATGTCTCCAGTGTTTAATCATCATACAGTAGAATGGTTTTATGCATATTTCATTTGCATATCATTAAACCACGCTAGCGCGGGACATTCAGAGCTGGAGAGGTACAAAGTTGGGGGGAGAGAGTGGGAGAGCGAGAACGAGACAGAGGGAGGAAGGTCCCTGTGATGCCTATCTTCAAAAGCCAGGGACTTGTTCCATGATCTGTCTTCTACTTTTACTAAAATCATGATGACTTGGAAACCTTTGAAGTTGGATATAACCTTGGATTCTTCTAATTCCAGCAGAGTGATGTATTAGAAAGGGAGAAATGATGCTGCGCTAGACATTTAAAGGAATATAAGCTCCAGTGGAATGGAAATAGGAGCTCTTTGGGGAACGAACTAGCAGAGCCAGCCACAGCTTCAACATCACACTGCTGTGTTCATACTGGTGAAGGATACCAAAGTAATACAAAAGAAATGAAGACAGCATATACATTAAGATGGGGATTATATTTACTCTTTCCCTTTTCTTTTCATTTTTAAAGGCACAAAGCAGGATGGAACCAGCGGTAATTTACATGCTATTTAGCGAACTGTTGCCTCTTTTTGTGTTTGTTTTTCTTCTCTGTTTTGGAGAGGGGCGTTTTCACCACTGAAGAGATTAATCAATTATTTGGTAGCACAGATCCTTCTCCACTGGCATTGATCAGGAAGAGAAGGTGGTGGCTGCGGGGGGAGGAATACAGTGGGCTCTTTGTAGATCTTATACATGCACAACATATTAATTGGGGTCTTTATAAAGCTCCCTCAATAGACTATTTCTTTCCTGGAGACCAGCAGCTGGTTAGCCACCGTTGGCGACTCTTCAAACATCCCTTTGGCTGGGGGCAGTCCTGCCGCTGTTTGTTGTTGTGCTTTATTTTCTCTCTCCACAGCGGGGGCTGCGGCTGCTCCCACTGCCCGCGCTTCTGTACAGGAGATGGACAGACAGAATCACTACCAAGACAATCTCTTGAGCTGGACGGGGAACTTTGCTTCCAAATGAAATGCTGTTTTATATTTAAATTACCTTCCTTTTTCCTCCCCACTTCTCTTCTCCTCCAGTCTTTGTGTCGGTTATGAATATTCAGATGAGCTGTGATGTGATTACACTGTACAATTACTTGTGTCCGTGATAGAGGCAAAAGCACTGTGGAAAGACAGAGCCAGATGAGCTTGGAGCTCATTTGGGGTTTGTTTTCTGTATTTTCCCCCATCTCTGTGGCACTGCGGCACATGCAGATGTCGCTGTTGTTCTTCATAAAGCCCTAATGATATGCAAAAGCATAACGACCCCATTTGGGTTCAGAGCATCAACGAAATATTATTGGGGGGGAAATCCTAACTGAAGGAATGTCCACATAAATTATTTTTATTTAAATCAAGAGGTGGCAGTGAGGCAGAGGAAGTCACATGAATACATGCATAATGTGAGCGCACAGAAAGGTTATCGCCAAGGAGAAGAGGGTTTTGCACTGTGCCTGGGACAAACAGGCTCATTTGGGGAAATCGTTCAGCCCGCCATGTGATTTGCTTATTTATCATCACTCATCCCTCAGCCAGGGCACCTGGCGTGCTCGCTGCTGGAGACCTGGAGTGCTGGGAGCTGCCTGGATGATTCCTAGTTATTCAGAAACACCAAGAAGTGTGCTGTGGAAGGGGGACAGGAGAAAAGGAACCAGAGGGAGAAGCTTTAAGTGCTGCAGCTCAGTGACAAAGGAGGGGCCTGATGACAGCTCAACGATGGAGAGACAAGAGGCCATCCCTGTGCTGGCTGATGCCAGGCTGGCATGCACGCTTCCCAAGGGACAGAGGGCTGACACGGTGGCTGCTGGGTCCCCACCACAGGTCAGTGGGACACGGGGTCTTGGGGCAGAGCAGCTGTGGCCACTGTGCCACCGGGAAGCCTGCTGGGGACAGGGAGTCCAGAGCTGGTCAGATCCACCCTCACCCGTTTTCCTCACAGCAGTGAATGGTACCTGGATGTAATGAGAACAAAAACGTGTGGGGAACAGGACCCCTTGGTTGCCCTGTTCAGCTGCTTTTCTGGATTGGGACCTGCACCCATATCCGTCAGCAAGGAGTGAACAAAGAGAGGCAGAGTGAGCCAGCAGTCAGCAGCTCATCAGCTATGACATCAGCTGTGTGACATCAGCTCAGGCATCTGCGCCTCCTATGTTTGCCCTGCACTGATCCTGGAGCTCTACAGCCTCCTTGCACCCTTGGTGGAGGGCAGGTCTTGGGCTGCAGAAAGACGTGGTGCCAGGGAGCGAGTGCTGTTTTCCTCTGCTCTCAAAAAGCTGCAGATGGGACCCACTGTAAGAGAATCCTCCTCTGCCCCCGTGCTCTGGGCGTGCACAGACCATGCCTGTGGCTCCAGAAAGGCTCCTGAGCAGTCCCCTGGGGGCCAGAGCAGGGTGGCCCCACAGTCCCTAAGGGTGTGCCTCTTGTCACAGGCACAGCAGTGGTGTGAGGGGCTGCCCAGGTAACCAGGGGCCTGGGGCAGGCCAGCCTCAAAGGAGCACTGAGACCCCAGACAGGAGGGTTACATCTAGTCTGTGTCTAAGGACCAGTGTGCCGAGGGTGCTGCAGACAGGACAGCAGCTGCTGCCCTGTGCTGTTCAGACTCCTGACCACAGGTCCATCCAGCTGTCACCTCTCTCCATTCCATTCCCTTCCCACATCTCAACAGATGTGTCCCTTCTGCACTCCCTCTTCTGCAAGGGCACCCAGGAGACTGAGAAAAGGCAACAGGCTGCCAGGTCTGATCAAAACCAGGACACCAGGACGGCCTCTGGGCAGCAATTCCAAACCTCAGCTTGCCACTACAAACTACCTGCAAAAATTCCAGACATCAAGGATAACTCAGTGGCAACCTGGCCCAGCAGCTGTGTGTGAATGGCCTGCCCATGCCCACGCAGCCTCTCAGGGGCTCAGCTAATGCTTGTTGCTGCCCTGGTGAGAAGGAATCTGCAGTCAAACCAGCCCAGACCCAAGTGAGCAGCCCAGAGCTGTCTGTGAGGAACAGAGCAGCCATGATTATGGACAGAATGATCTGAGCAGATCATAGAATCATGCCACAGAATGGTTTGGGACAGAAGGGTCCATAATAAAAATCTAGTTCCACCCCATTGACTGCCCAGCCAATGTCTTCCTGACCCCAGCACTGTGACACTGCTGGTCTGGACACTGCAGAGAGCCAGCCCCGATGGTGCCACCTGGCTCTGCCTTGTCCTTCTGGTCTACAGCCTCAACGCAGCTCAGTACCAAGGTGTCCAGACCAAAGAGAGCCTGGGAATATGGAACAACCAAAACCAACAGAAAGCAACTCTACAGAAAGGCCATGCCCCCTCCATGCCCTTGTCATCATTCCAAAATCTGATCCCTTCCCCACCTGGTTTCTGCAGGACAGGATGCCCAATCCTTAATGGTGCCTTGGCATGCCATAAGCCTTAGGGAAGAGACTAAAGGGCAAAGCCTGAGCAGAAACCTGCCCCAAAATGCAGGGTAAGACAAGGACTCACGGACAGGCTGGGAGGCACAAACGTGGTGGTGCAAAGTCACGATCCCTTCCCGTGTTTGTGCTGATGGACAGCCCTTCCTGCCAGCTCCACAGCCCTGTCCACTCTATCCATAGAGCCTGGTGTTGCCAGGTGCAGCCCATCACCCTAACAGTGGCTGGCTGACAGCCTCAGAGGGTTTTTTGACCCAGACATGGAGCAGGCTGCAGGGCAGATCGATAGCACTAGCCATGGCCTCACTTGGCTGACTCTTCTCCTGCAGTCCTCAAGGTTCCTGCTCCTGTCGGACAGGATCTGGCACTCCAAGAGGAGCCCAAAGGCTGGGGACTGGACAGGGGAGTCCAGCAGCCTGCTGCCTGCTCCTCAGGTAGAGAAACCCCCAGAGAAGGTGGAAGGAAGGGTGGGACCAAACCCACTTGAAGTCGCTCGTTGCACAAGTGCTACCAAAAAGGAGCAGGAAGAAGACTGTACCCTGTGCTGGGAAAATGAGCATGGAGCATAGTGGGTGAGGCAGAAGAAGTGGGGCATGGTGCTGGCTGCTCCCCCCATGGAGCACCCTGCTCTGCACAGTGCCCAGCATGCTCAACATGCCACTTCCTACATGCACAGGTGGGAAATACTGCCAGAAATATCACCCCCAGGGTCCAAGACACCCAGATTGCAGACATTTGGAATGGTCAATTGACCATTTGGAAGTCTCCCCATGGAAACTTGAGGAAAGGGCAGCTCCCAGAGCACTGTAGGAGCCATTGTGTTGTTTGTCAATTCACCAAATACCCTGGAGAAATTGCTAGTTAGGAAAAGGAAATTCAAGCATGTATAGAATATATTGCTATTCAAAACACCAAAAGAATTGTTTTGCAAATAGTAGCACTGCTGAAGAGGGGAGAGAAGTACATCCGTCATTTGATATTACATATAAGCAGTTTATTAAAGAATTAAATATTTATGGACTATAAAGCAAGCAGGGCAATGAGTTGCAAACAGCTTGCTGAGAAGTATGTTATAAACATTGAGTCTGTCAGGGACTAATAAAGTATGGAGAACACAAATGTTTTATAAAATCACCAGGCCAGTGATGAATCTGCACAGCTGAGATGCTACAGAACCCATGGAGGTTCGTGCTGCACCATGACCCCAGAGCCAGCACAGGAGGGATGCAGTCAGATGGGGCTGTGTGACTGCAGACAGCCAAGCACTAATGGCAATGCACATGAGTCAGTGCTTGGAGAAATTAGATGTTTCATGTTATTCTAAGCACAGATCTATTAATAGGAAGTTCTGGAATTTTCAGAGTTCAAGGCACTTCTCTCTTTAGCTTTTTTATTGCAGCTAATCTTCCATTTACAACAAAATTAAAGTTTGTGATTCAGATTAAGGCCCCTCCCAGCAGAGCCCTTGCCCCCCCTCCCCTTCTCTAAAGAGGCAGCCCCAGGCACCAACTTCCCTGTCCCCAGCAGACCTCTGGAGCACCACTCATGTTTGGAGAGCAGCGGCTCTCTCCACCTCTGCACATTTGCAAGGAACAACTAAGATTTTCAGTGACTGTACAAGAGGAACAGGTAGGTGGTGGCAGACCCCAAGGACAGGAATACCTTTCTGTTGGCAACACTGGGGGAAGTGGCAGCTGATGGTAATAATGGGCATTTTTTCCTGCATGGAACAGACAGGTTTCATTTTCCAACAGACATCTGTCACAGCAATTGTGAGGAGATTGCTGTTCTGTTAGGAGTGGAGATGAAAGACTCTCCAGACTACTTTATATTTTTGTGCAGTCAAGCCCAGCCCCAGAAGTGATTTTTAATATAGGGTGGACTAATGCCTTTGATCACATCCAGGCAGATTCCTAATAGCTGTCCCCACAATTTCAAGCCTGGTGAGGTGGATGAAACTCCCAGGGGGTCCAGGCATTCATGGCTGTTTGGAATTCAGTCTCTTTGCAAGCTCCAGTCCCCGCTGGTCCCGCTCCTCAGGCTGGGACCAGCACCCTCCCGAGGCAGCAGCCAGAGCTGACACACAGAGGCAGGGTCTGCCCAGGGATGGGGAAGGAGCATGGCTGCTGCCTCCTTCCTGACTCAGGTAAGTCCTTGTGATGTGCCAACGTTAATTAACAGGAGAATCAGCAGGCTAAGAACTGTCTGGGGTTGGTGAAATCAGATTCCATTTAGTAGACAGAGAGAAACCTCCATTTGCCAGCTGCTCTTTCTGCACTCAGACAAGGTGGGAAATTTTCATCCTCTGAGAGGTAATTAAGACAGATTTTTTTTTTTTAATAATTTGCAGTAATTATTCAAGCTTATTTGCCAGGGAGGGTATATCAGACTAAATTTTGGGTTAAATAGCAACCTTTGTTGTCCTGTGTGGAAATGATTATAGCAAGGTTCAGGTCTCAGCAGACTCAAAGGCTACAGAAGGTGTATGAAAAAACCCAGCCCTATCAAAGGCATAAACCCCATTAGTTCCAGATGGATTGCTTGAGTGGTTTCTCTCTCTCGAGCCCAGAGCCTGTTAGCTTCAGGGGTTTCTACAGGAAAGTGTGGTACCTCCCAGAGAGCATCATAACCAAATTCTGCTGTTTCTGTACTGCTAGAGCTGCTGCTGTCAGCACGAGCCCTGCAAGGATCCCTAAGCACGATCCCAAACCAGGACAGTATCCACTGAGCTTCACTGTTCCTTTCTCCCTATTCTTCCTTCCTCCAGCCCAGCTCTCACCTCTCCCCACACCAGCACACCACGACACTTTGCACCCTCAAATAGGTTTCTATACCCCAGTGATTTTACCAAACATTATTCTCTCCGTCTCCTTCCCTACATCCTAAAATGATGGAGCACAGTGCCATGTACTGGGGTTACCAGGGGGGTGCCTGCATTGTGCTGAGCTCTCTGCAGGACACGCAGCCCAGCTCTTGGCCTGCCCCCACCACTGCTCTTGCAGATTCTGGTGCTGTGCCCATCTCCTTTCAGCTCAGCCCCTGAGGGCCATCAGGACACTTCAGTTCACAGCACAGCTCACCGACCCCACATTTGGCACACGTTTCAGGTTACTATTTACCCTGTGGTCCTTTGCTCCTTCAGTGTTTTCCCTCATCTCCAGGCACCCTCCTGCAGTCACACCTCCTGATATCCCTCTTCACTCCCTCCCTCCCTCCCACCTTGGTGTTTTGGTGGGTTTTTGACTTGCTAGAACTTGAAGTTCCTTCTCCCTTGTCTGTCACAGAGCCAGTTCAACGCTGCCATCCATTTCTGATGTTGACACCTTAGCCAGCCTCATTCCTGGAGCCACTCTGGGTGCAGCTGTGGCTCTCCCTGCTCCCTGGTGTGGGTGCAGGACCCCACCCTATTTTTGGACCAGGATGGACATGTCACTAACCCTCATTTGTACCCTTTCCTCCCAGTCCCGTCCCACTGGAGGCCTCGCTGGCACCTGCTTGAACTGCTGCAAAGTCAGCAGTTTCCCAGCCCCTTACCTTCTTTGTGAGGACATGGAGAACAAGGAAGAGACAAACTGCTCAGAGAGAATGCTGCAGGATGAGAATTATCAGCACATTTTATTGGCATATTCCCAGCAGCTAGCATTATGACCCGCAGGGTAGAGGTGAGGAGTTCCAGTATGAGTATGGATTAAATACCTGTGTGCCCAAGCAAGCATCAGACTCACAGGCTGAACCATAAAGAGGAGATATTTAAAGGTGTGCTTGCTGTTCCCCTGTAAGCACTTTGCAGATCTCTCTATGGTGCCAACATTTGTCAGGCAGATAACGTGAATCACTCAGGCCAGGAAACCCCAGGAGAAAGGTAATGGCAAACTGCGACACACAGCTCTGTGTGAGCCCAGTGGTTTCAGTCAGCACCAAGGGAACTGACTGTCCTCTCAGGCATTCAGGGGATCCCTTCTGAGCTATAGCAAACTTCCCAAGCACATCTTCCCTGGCCACGTGTGTGTGCAGAGCCTGTTTGTTGTCCATGGCTGGAGCCAAACTTTGTGAATGGAGAATGAACTGTTCAGGCTCAGAGAGCAGTGCTCCAGGGTGGCAGTGATGTAGGGTGGAGCTGCTCCAGGGGTGTGGGGTACAGTGTGCCTCTGAATGCTATAACTCTCCTTTATGCTGCCATGACACACTCATCTCCAGCAGCAGAAAGTGCACATTTCAAAAGCCACACAGATCAGCTGGATCACATTCCGAGGAGAACTGGTGTTTTGTGTCCTGTATCTTGCACACCTGACTCAGAACGGGAACATATTTCAGCAAGCAACAGATTATCCCAAGCACATTGTCCCCACGGAGCGGTTCTGAGCATGCCTCAGACAAAGGCAATGCTGTGTCCATCCCAGAGATGCAGGTTTTAAATACACTAAATATACACATGTGTATCATATATTTTGTAATAGATGCGCCCTATGTGTATTAAGATGGGTTTATTTTACTTAATGGTCTCCTTTAAGGAATATTTGTCATCTTGGCAGGCTGTGAGCAAGGCTGCAGCTGAACACACTCCTCCTGCCCGCCCAGCCAGCCCTGGGCTGCTGGTTCAGAGCCTGGCAGGTGTCTCCCAGGGCACGTGGGAGCTGTGAATGTTGGCTAACAGGACGTGTGGCTGTCCCAGCACGAGCCTTCAGCACCACAAAGAGCTCGGAACCCACCCTGCCACCGCTCCACCCCAGAGCAGTGGGAGCTGAGCACCCTGCAAAGCTGTCATGCAGTGTCTTACCATGTGTTTGACCTAATGTGCTGGAAAACTTCCAAGGAGGAGGATGAGGAGCATGTCTTCTCACCTCCCATGGGATGCTACCCCACATCAGCACCCAGACTGCCTCTGCTTTGGCTCTGATGCCAGCACAAGGGAGGTGCAGGAGCAAAGCTGAGAAGGGAGGAACACTGGATCACTCCCTTTTAGCATGGTCAGTTATTTAGGTTTAAACAGCTCCAGAAACCCCACCCCTGATTTCTAAGGAGGGGGTCTGCAGCAAAGACCAGCAGTATTTAAACATTTGCATTGTGAGGACAGAAATGAGAGAACTTGAGAAACCCACAACGACTTCCCTGGTCAGTCCCTGGACAGCATCACTGCAGAGGCACTTGTGCTGAAGGATGTCAGATAGTCATGTTTGCTTTTTAAATGAGAGAATTAGAATGGACATTTGGCAGTGGACCTTGCCTGCAGAGGAATATTTCTGCGTCTTGTGTAAAAGATCATGATTAAGTCAACACCTGATTTATCCCAATCTCTTTTCCCCTCTGTTCCTGTTCTCTCAGAGCACCCATATCTGCTGACCTCTCCAAACACTCTGGGCAGGGGCAGCTGTGCCTGGAGCCAGAGCTGGGGAGGGGAAGGGTGCACATGCAAGGGGATCCTTGGATGACAGAGCCTTGGACCCTCAGCATGACAGAAAAGGGTTTTGCAGGCCTTCCAACAGACATAACACAATAAACATCCCCAAACTTGTCTGCTACAACAAAACAGTTTTATTACAGAAAAGCTTCCAAATTGAAAATGATAAATGTGCTTTTAGGAGCCTGTGGAGATGGATCACCTGTACTCACAGATGGAAGAGAGGTGATTTTAGAAGCTACTGTTAGAATGTGCTCTCTCCTCCTCCCTTTTCAACCAAGGAAAATCATAAGAAAGAGGGGCAGAAGGAAAACAATTCCACAGGAATCCCACAGCTTTGCTGTCCTGACAGCATCTTACCAAAATTATGTTACTGTTTACCATTCCATTGTTTATCCTTGTCACTGTGGGTTTAGGGTTTTTTCTGTCCATGTTTATTAATGAAATACTAGCAAAAGAACATGATTGTTTGTGTCTCGCCATACAGGGATCTAAATAGTGGTCAGATATTGACAGAATTTACATCCAATGACATGGGCCACACAACCCCCATGCACTTGGGGTAAAACATACAGATCACAGACTCCCAGCACTGCCTGGGCTGGCAGGAACCTTCAGAGGTCCCACTCTGACATGAGCAGAGCAAGGAGGGACTGAAGTTGGCCTTTTCCTGTCATTTTGCAAAAAGGTGCTTCTGAGCTCCCGGAAAACAGGTGATACAACACAAACAGTTACACTGAGCACTTACAGACAGATTGACCAGAGCACTTTCAAGAGAACCCAGGCAGTCCACAGACTTGAGGGTCCAGGCTGCTGATCTAACCGAGTGGCTATTTAAGCCAGTAAGTCTTAAACACAGGAAACAAACTATTCCTTTTTCCCTTGGCAGCAGCATCTCCACATTTTAAAGCTGTTGTCATATCAGCCTCCTGTGCTGTTATCATAAAATTTGTACCTAGAACCCAGAAGACAGGACAGACTAGAGCTGGAATGCTGCCTCTGTGCTTTTGCTGACTCATCTGTTCAGAAGTCTGAGCAACCATTCTA